CGCGTCCCATGAGCCGTTTGTTATATTTTCTCTCCCTTGTCCAGCTGAGGAGGGGAGTGACAGAGCAGCTTTGGGGGGCACCTGGCGTCCAGCCAAGGTCAACCCACCACAGTATATTTATAGAAACTTTTTTTTATTGTCTTTTACTGCAGTAGCCAGATTAAGTTCTAGTTGGGCTTTGCCCCTTCTATTTTTCTCCCTGCCTAAACTCATGATACCTTTGTAGCCCTCCCGAGTTGCCTTCCCCTTTTTCCAAAGGGGAACTCTCATTTTTTTTGCAAGAGTTCCAGCCAGAGCTCTCTGTTCAGCCACGCTGGTTGTCTTCCCCACTGGCCCATCTTTCGACACGAGGACAGCCTGCTCATGCGCCTCTAAGGTTTCCTTGAAGAATGCCCAGCCTTCCTGGACTCCTTTGCCCTTCAGGACTGCCTACCAAAGGAGTCTGTCTACCAGACTCCTAAACAGGCCAACGTCTGCCCTCTGGAAGTCCATGGTAGCAGTTCTGCAGACCCCCTCCTTACTTCTCCAAGAATCAAAAACTCTATCATTTTGTGATCCGCTCTGCCCAAGATGGCCTCCAAACGTCACATCACCCACAAATCCTTCTCTGTCTGGAAACAGCAGGTCCGGCTGTGTCAGGAAGTTATCTTCCACACACTCCTAGACTGTTTCCTCCCCGCTGTACCATATTTCCAGCAGATGTCTGTTAAGTTGAAGTCCTCCATGAGAACAAGGGCTAACGATCCTGAGACTTATGTGAAACAAAGTAACAATATGCATAAGGACCTCCCTCTCCCTATGAAATCTAATGAATAAAGACAGTCATTCTATTAATCAATTCCATTAAAGATCATCATTTACTATGAATCACTTACCTAGTGTGCCAAAAAAGTCATTACCCAAGAAAGGAAATCCAGGTCTATTTGCTAGAACTATCATTCTAAAATCAGGATGAATAACTATTACATTTTCTCTCCCCTCTACATGAGCAGGATCTGGAAAAGAAATAAAATTTATTAATTGCATATTTAAGCTTTGCAATTATGAATGAATTAAAAGAACATAATTAGATTAGGAGAATTCTAATTCTAAGAATTCTTCTAATCTAATTATATTCTTCTTGGAATTAGAAGAACAATTACAAAAAAGGCTCAATAGTTTCTTAGCATGTCATTTAACTATGACTGTTCTAGGTTTCATTTTAAAGTTTCATAATTCATTTCATGAAAATTTAACGGAAGTGTTTAATTTAAAAGAAAAAACCAACCAAACCAGCTTCCACTGTTCTTGGGGCGGGGACTACCTGTCCTGTTTATATTTAATTTCACTAAAATACTGAAGCCAATGGTGAATAAAATGTGGTTTTATGTAGGTCTGACATTATCTGATCCGGGAACACAGGACTGAAATTCCTCCTGGTTATTACAAAAATCTGTGAGAAGCCAGAACACACGATTTCACACATGTGAAGACTCTGTTCTGCCAAAATGAGTCAGACTGGCCCCACTTGTTCCCTGGCAGCACGTTACCAGTGGCACATGGTTTTTGGGAATCCTTTTACCTCCTCTAAAAAACTACAGTAAGAATTGAGACTGGCTAGCAAGATATTTTAAAAAAATGCCCAGCTACAGTTTATAATTACAAGCAAAACTCAAGCGTTGTGCCATGTGAGTGCTGAATGATCGCTCCACTCATACTTAAATATTGCTCCCAATCCCATTAAAAAGAAACTCATAACCTAAAGTACACTGCCTACTAACATCAAGAGAGCATTTCAAATATGGTCTTTCTTTGACAAAATAATAATAAAAAAAAAATAGTTCCTGCAATTCTTGTGAATTAAATTCCATTAAATTACAAAATACTTTCATCCTGCAGGGTATCTTTAAATAACACAAGCTTACACAATATTTTATTAGATCCCTTAACAGTTCAACCTTAGTTATACTCTTATGTTCATTTTTAGATCTCATCAAATTATACCCCAGCTATCCAGATGGGCATAACCAAGATCATAATTTGGTCAAATAGATCTTTATTTCTTATGGTGAATGAGAAGCAGAAAGGTCAGATTACAGGCTTGTTTTGTTTTTTAAAAATTTCTCAGCAGAAGTTAAGAGAACCTTTGTGGTTATTGCAAAAGTAGTTTATGAAGTAATTTTTGAAACAAAAATTTGATACCTCATATGCTTAAAATCATTCTCTAGAGAAAAAAAAAAATTACTGTAAATTCATTAATTGTGAACCTTTTAGCATCAAGTACTTTTTCCATCTGGACGCTTTTTGGGCTCTACTTAGTAATATAATTGCTGAAAAACAGCAACATGTTACACTTTACTGTAAATGACCCAAACGTTTTCTATCTACTTACTGGCAACAATTCGCCTTCCATCTGACAAAACCATTTCCCCGCTTTCTACTAAAGTTTTTAAGACACAGGTAACATTTGTTGGTGCTTTGTCTGCCTCATCAATTACCAAAATATGTCCAAACTTCACTGCTTTTACCTAGAAGAGAAAAGAATCAAAACATCACAGGCCCCCCCCCCAAAAGCAAAAAAAAACCCTGCAAGAAACTGCATTACTGATTTCTCAGTCAGCAGCAGTGACATCTTGGTGGCACTGAGACAAGAAAGGGACTCAGAACAAGGATAAGCTATGACCAAACTCTGGCAGAGAGAAGAGGAGGCAGGTGAGACGTGAAAGGTGGATGTTTCTGTTTCTTCAGGATAGGCATGGAAAGGGCTGTGCTAGGGAGGGCAGTGAGGAGCCTGATTGAAAACTGGAGTGCTGACAGAGAAGTGCAAAATCAGTTTGAATCTAGATCGTCAACATGAAGCTGAAAGAACTAAAGAATGACTGGAACAGCACTATGGAGTCCAACTTAGCAGATAGGTGTGAGAGGCCACAAAAGAGGAGGAGGAAAATACCACTCTACCAGTTAGAATCTGTCAGGTTAATACTAAATTATTTTCCATACTCATTTTGTGCGTGCCAAGTCCCAAGACTATCTTCTAATTCACATTTGGCACAGCAAACGTGGCAAATATGCCCAAAGTAAAAGTTAATAAAATGTTACCATGCTCACTGACTATGCCATGAAAATAATCAAATCACAAAGAATTTTCTTATTTGGAAAGCCAGCATGTTTAACTAGTTGTTTTAAATGCAAAACATTTATAAATATATAATCTAAATGTTGCTACTGACCAGTGGTGAATCTTCATATATAATAAGACCGTCTTTAACAGAAGGTTGTAGGGTAAGGCTTTGTACTGTGGTATCCCTGAAATGTGGAAAACCAGACAATATTAATTTAAAATACACAGGAATTTCAGTTACAATGAAATGCAAAATGAATAAATGAAAAACTGAAGGCTTCCTTTTTCTAAGAGGAAAAAATATCCTTTTTTTTTTTTTAGAATTCTTGAAGAGCTTGAACTGAGAACAACGCTGTGCCAGCTTAGTGGTCAAAGGTGAGTATCCCTGTCTCTGCCAGGGCTTTCATAGTAGTTCTCAATTTCTCATAAACCCTGGAAATGAAAACACTGAAAAGTCAATCTGTCTCTTTTGTGTGTAGGCACACTACTACTGTTACTACTATTTCTAGTTAAGCATACTTAAACTGCCATTTACATGACAAACAGGGGAATCTCCTCAGAAAAACCAAACAGGAATTTGCAGTATCACAGTCAAACCATTAATGTTTTAGTTGCTCTTCTCCACACATCACCAAGTAAAAAAAGACTAAAAATACTCATGTGGAATTCTAAAAAGCAATTATTTTTAGTTCTATCTAAACCATACCAGATGGAATAATATTTACTAGCACTTGCTACATTTTATATCATGGTCAGAGTAAGCTCTTAGATGGGACAGAGACTTTCATAGCACAGTATTTCTTTTTGAAATTCTATTTGTGTTTTAATTGCTCAAATGATTTTTTTTTCCTTCAAATTTAAAATAGTGTCAATTAAAATCTGTAATGAGAATATTCCTTAACCTTCACTATTTTCATCTATTTCAGCCACCACTGAATGTACAGATAAATAAAAATGAGTTGCAATTCAGAAAGATCCAGCAACAGATGTCACCACACTGGATTCATCTATATAAATTATGTCCATAACCTAGGGAAAACCCTTTCTGATTGTACAAAATACTTGTCAAAACTTTGACAAGTAAAAACCAACCCCATTTAGCTTGGGGTTCAGAAGAATCAATGAGCTAAGGAATAACCCAGAGGTGGGTGATGACAGATGATCCCCATGACTCGCATGGTTTCACAGGCGACAGGATATGCAATTCAATCTTAGGGCAAGTAGGCTATGCCATCCCTTTCCTCCCGTGTTTCAAAATTTGGATTAGTCTGCGTCAGCAGAATGATGGACAAATCATGTGACAAAACTCATCAGGAGAGCCTCACTGACGCTGCTTGAGATCCACACGTTGGTCGATAGGTAAGGCTGGTAACCTTCGTGTTGCACGTGAGGTTTGATGCAATGAAAAATCTCCTACCTTTCACAGCCATGCTGGATAACAAAACTGTTTGCTTAAGCTAAGCCGTTCCAAATATCCACCTTAGTTCTATCTTTAATTTTGTAGCACCTTGTAAAAACCAACAATATTCTGATAAGCTCCATGGGTACAGGAAATCAAACACAGTACTGTTTGCAGCAAACTATTAAATGGCCAGCTTCCAGTTACAGTTTTAAACTGACAGCGTAACATGCACATTTCCTTTATTTGAAACTGCTGTCAGCAGGATTTCTGTCCCTAATAACTAATAATTTCTTGTTTAGCTTTAAACTCATGATTGATTTATCCTAGCTTTTCCCTTCCACAGAAATGAACTATAGGGTGGGAAGAGAGATTTTTAATGTTTAGCTAGTTCATGTTTGCTTTAATTGAGGAGAGGAAAGGTTACAAAGCTGCGACCACCTTCACTTCACTTAACCCCATCAAATGCCTGTCACAAGCAGCAACACTCCCCCAAATAGTTATGTTCATATTGTATTCACTTGCAACACATAATTTTTTAAACCACTAAAATAAGCAGTAGCAGAAATCTATTATCTTAGAAATCTTACCATGGACATAAAACCAAAGCTTGTATTGTCATCCTGCTTGCCTACCCATTTCCATGCTGGGCGGAGAAATCAATAATGGATAAAAAAAAGTAACAATAAACCAATGACTTCTGTTTCTTGAACACAGATTATTTAGGGACTGTATGTATCAGCCTACCTCCATTACCAGTTATTACTTCTGGTTCAAGCCTACACAGTCACGGATGCAGAAGAATTTTAAAATGTGTAAACCAAACCCTAGAGTATATGAAGGCACACTCACAGGTTACTAGTTAGAAATAATAAACGGAAAAATATTCCAAGGAATTAATCCAAGGAGAAAAGGGGAAGGATTCGTCAAACCTGAACTGTGATCTCTTTAAAGTAATAGAAAGGTGAGAAAATGAGAGGATCTAAGGAAAGTAAAGGCCAAGAATAAAGGAAGAGGAGGCATTACAGGATGCTTTACAGATCATAAATTTGCACTTAGCAGCCAATGAATGAAAACAATACAATGAAGAGAGCAAGGCAGGAAAAGAAGATCACTAGTGGTGGCATGGATGGGCACAGGTGGCAATGGAAGAAAAGACACAAACATCAAATGGCATTTTACTGTAACACAAAATAGTGTATTTTACTTTTAGTGAGCTAGTTAATCCTCTGGCTCTGCAGAGATTACTTACAACCCCCTGATACAGAATACTAACTTGTGCTTAGTATCACTAGCAACCCACACAAATCCCTAGGATGATCTCATTCTTCAGGGAAGACAGAATTGACCGTATCTTTGGGGGAAATAAACACTAGAAGAGTTTACACTTTACTTAATCGCTATTATAAAAGTTGCATAAATCAGAAAAAAATTTTAGAAGGTATCAAAATGAAAGAACAATTGACATCCTAAATCTAGCTTCTAACTTTTCTTCTTATTTTACCTGTGGTTCCCTCCTTTCTTCGACTTTGTTTTTATTCAGCCCTAATATTTTAAGGAAATATTTCAGGGGATTTGCAATGTATCATAGAAATTAATATATAGCCAAATATTAAATCCATTGGCTTGATGACATAAGTGAACGCAAAACTGCTGTACTTGCTTAGGCTATTACCTTCAGCCATGTATATAAGAATGATTTTGCCAGGGTTAGTAGAGATAAATGTTACTTTCTTCTCAGAATTATAAGCTATGCAATTAGATATCATTAATTTCTGTTCTTCAGAAAACTAACGTGACCTAACCACAGTAAAGTATGGCTAAAAATAATTTGCCTCCGTAGGGCTTTTTCTTCTTAAATTTCCACTTTACAATAAATTATGTAAATGTAAAGACACTGAAATAGAGAGTAATAAAAATATGTTAAGTCTGAAATACTTCTGAACAATACAGTATGCAGATTTTCCTAAATGTAAAAAATGTCTGACACTCAAAACATTAGACTGTAAAATTTCACTCCCACACGAAAGGAACTAAAAACTGTAATTCACATTCACTTATTAATATTAGCATCTTAATATTAACTAGGCTCTAACAACGACATGAATATCAAAACCTCCTAATTTCATCACATTTGGCACCCGAGATGAACATAGTGCTGACACAAAGAAGCAAGACTGTGGGAATGTAGAAGTGAGTGAGAAAAGCTGTCTGACATACTGTCATCCTACTCAACTGATATGTGTTCTGATTATAAAAGAAAAATATGAAAAGTTTGCTAATGTCTTTTCTAAGAACATATTTTTATTTTTAATCATGCAAGCTGACCTCATGAGCTCTCTATGAAAAAAAAAAGGAAAA